GGAAAAGGAGATTGAAAAGCGGAGAAGAGCGAAAGGAAGAACTAGGGTTAGAGCCGTGAAGGAACTCTAACAGGATCTGAAGAGAGTGAAGGAGAGAGAAAAAAGGACGCTTTTATATTTGAAACAAGGAACGACAACCAATTGCCGATGTTCCAATTCTATTTATATTAGGGTTTTGCTATTCTTTCTTTTGCTTTAGATTGTCCCTTTATTGGGGCTTTTACCCGGCCTGCTTTCTTTTTGGGTCGGGTTATGGAATTTGGAAAGTTTGGGCTTCATGCTTCTTGGGTCTTTTATTATCTCTTCATAGGTTGTTTTGGGTTACTTGTGTAGTTTGATGGAGTTGGGCATGGGTTTTGTAACTTTTTGTGATGTACTTGTGTTATCGTGTTGTGTCATACGTGGTATTAAATTGTGTTTAGATGGGTCTTTAATATATAATCTTGAGCCCGGATTTACAAATTAGTGTTGGGCTTGTCAGGTTTAGGCTTTTTGCGATTTTTTGGGTTAGATATGGGTTTTGAACTAAAAAACAAATGTGTTTTAGGGTTACCCAAATATTAACCTTTTTAGGCTGGCTTGGGTCATTATTGATCACCTCTAGGCTCTAGCTTTTTATGCTTATGAAGGTTGTTGGCATGTTAAAGGAATGTGGTGGGTAAATTTTATGTGTATTGTAATGTATTTTTGTATCGAGATGAGCTAACATGGGTAAGAAGAGGCTTGTGAATGATTTTATAAAAAATAAAAAATATAATAAAGAAAAAATTGTTCGATTAAAATAGAAGGGCCAACAAACTTCATTTTCGTAGTGATTAAGTTATTGGTAATTATATCAATTACGTCATATTTGGTTCAAAATATGGTTAAAGGGGGTAGAGTTGTACTGATCTGTAACCAAATGTGGAGTATAATGTAAAGGTGTAACGTAATAATAAAACTAAAAAATGTGCAAAGCATAAAGAGCACCAAGGGACAGAACTAGTGCTTATGAAACTTTATTACTCATATCTCTTATTATGAAATACTCCGTAATTGATATCACACGTATAACGGTATAAGCACATCCTAGATCCCTTATATGATAACTTTATCAATTTTTTTTTTTTGACAGATACTATATCATATCTTCAGTTGATTAAAATGTAGAGATATGCCATGTATTATACGGAGTATGAGTATAATATTATTGTTAGTTAAGTGCAATGGATATCTGCTAAATTTATGAATGCCATTGCTTGATTTCATTAATAACTTTGCCACACATATATAATACAAAGACTAACCCTTTTTTTTTTTTTTTGACAAGAAGAAGAATATTATTATTAATAAACTAGTTAAAGTCCCGTGCAATGCACGGATTTTTAATAACTTATATAGCGAATTACGACATTAATTTAACAATTATATGTTAAAAAAAAAAAGAATTACAGTAAAATATATACATTCAAAAATATTTCGTTTGAGTGCGTATGGCAAAAATATAATCGTTAAACTGGAAAGTAAATATTACTTGTATAGGCTATAAATATTTTTCATAAGGAAAGATAAAGAGTGGAGGGAAAATTTATAACCATTGAATGACATGTGTCATCACTGGTTTCGCTTTTAGTATTAAGTTATTGATTATTGATAGCCATACGACATCTACAACAATAATAAAGATTTGTAACCACAGATCTAGAGAAAATAACATAAGTTTTACAATCAAAATCATAACTAATTTGCATATCGGGCATAACTCACACTCCACCGCTTCAAACTTGAAGCGAGTAGTGATTTTCGATGTCTTTGCATCTTTCCAAGTAGAGACCTTCGCAATCTGTGCTGATGATTTGATTGTAGAGTTCATAACGAACCCTAAACCCATATGAATCCAAATCACCTTCTCAATTATTATTAAAACCCTAAAATTATAATTTTCATCTATAGATGAGAATCAAAATCCCAAAAAAATTGAGAAAAACCCAAAAAAAATTGGGATAGACTCTCACATACGGAGAGAACAAAACAAAGCAAAACAAATCAAATAACAAAAAAGCAAATTAAATTGATAAAAAGTGTCGGAAATAGTCTAAACGGCCAAGGAAATTAAAACCCTAAAGAGAGGAGAGATAAGAGAGAAAAGAGAGAAGAGGGAGGCGGCTTTCAGACTAACCCTTAATTGCCTAGGATTAGGAAACTACCAAAAGATAAAGATATCAAAAGATAGACTAGCTCAAAATATGCAAACCAAAGATATTCTAAGATCTCCTAAATATGTTTTATGGAAAGATTTTATTGGTTTACATAAGATAAATTTAAATTTAGGGTTATAAATATTGATTATATGACATATGAGTGACAAATAAAAATTGAGTTTAAGATGCGTGATTGGGGTAATATAGCGAGTGTGATTGCAGAACATGTGGAAACAGTAGAAGACTTGGAAGCGTTTGGGTTGGTATGTTCAAGTTGGAGAAGAGGGGCGAAAGAATGCAAGTTTGAGTTCGAAGGGAAGCCATGGCTCATGCTGCCTCGGCGCAAAGAAGATGGGCCGAAGCAACGTCAGTTTTACAGCCTCTATAACCGCAAACTGCGCACAGTCAACCTTTCTCTGTGGATCCACGGCATTGACATAAGATTATTATCGTCTCATGGATGGTTACTGGCCAGTGTTACTTACACTGACCAGGAAAATAATGTGTTTATTTTCAACCCCAAGTCAGGTGCCAAAATAAACATTCCTAAGGTTACCTGCTTGATTAGTAATATATTTCAAGAATATTACTATGCCTTTAAAGGCAAGGAAATTCTCAAGTTCATCCTATCAGGGAACCCATCCTCCTCTAGTGATTTCACAATCGCCTTAGTTGCGCCCGATCCCAACTCTTATAGTCATGGGGTCATCTGTTTCTGGAGAGAAGGCTATGAAAGATGGCAGACAGTTTTTACGGACACACGAATTGATGTAACTTTTTATAAGGGTAACTTTTATGGCGTGAGTGATTATGGATATATATGGTGTTATGAGTTTGAGCAATCAACAGGTCGTCCTCACCAGCGGCGTGTTGCTAAACTGGAACCTACCGGCATTTTCTGCAGATACCTTTTCCCTAAAGATTCACGCTACTACTCGACTTGCAGGCTAATAGAATGCTACTTGGTTGAATCAGAGAATCGGTTGTTGCTGGTGATTAGGGTGAGACCAATGAATTATGCGGCCATGAAATCTTCAAAACAAGGTTTTTCAAGGTGTATGAGGTCAATGTTAACAATGGAGAGACGAAACATGTTCTTGATTTGGGTGATATAGCGATATTCGTGGGTTGGAATTCATCCTTTTCTATAAAGGCATCATCTCTTGCTCATGGAATCAAACATAACTCTATCTATTTTAGTGGTGATTATCGGATACCTGGGGATTATGACGCTGGCATCTTCACTTTGGCAGATGAAAATATTCATCGCTTTGATGGCATTATTAAACCAGAATATTGCTATGAACATGTATGTGTGGCTTCAGGATCCAACCTTATGATCTATCTCTTATACCAGCTTTTCTAATTAAGATTCTATCAATAATACAACTTTTCTTATTTTTGTATTTTAATGGTTTGCGTTAGTTTACATTTGAGGCTATCCCCATTAATATCCTACATTAACATTGTTTGTTAATATAGTGGCATTCTACTAGTAAATAACAAATTATGAGAGAGAGAGAGGGGGGGGGGGATTCGCTTCAGAATCTACCAAAAACCCTTGATAGTAACAAATTATGTTGGGTTTTTCTAAGCTATGCCCCTAAACTTCTTCGGTTTCTAAACTGTGCCCACGGTTTTAAAAATGTCTAAGCTATGCCCTCCACTTTACTATTTTTAATTAACAATAACCAATTACGTTTAAACTCCGTTAGTAGTTGTGGAACTGTTCAGTACCTCTGTTTGGAGGGAATATTTGCCGCCATTGTTAGGGTTTTACTTGTATTATAAAAGGGGGCTTGTATAACACAGTTCCCCTGTTTCTTCTTGTCTACAAAAAATTTAGCCCAAAAAATTTAGCTATTACCATGACAAGCTCCCGTTCTTCTCCAGCAATTTCTAGTTGTCAATGGGATTTTGTTAGTCCCAAGTGCAATTGCAAGCCTCCTTTAGATTGCAAGTTACATGTTTCCACTTCAACAAGGAACCCTAGAAAGGCATATTGAAGGTGTGATTTTTGCAGATTTTTCGAATGGGTAGGCCCTCATAACATGTTGTGGAGAGGAGAGTACCAACAAGCGTATTACGATGGTTTTGATGGTGGTGAAAGCGTTGACAATGGTGCGCTGATGGAGGTGAATGAAGCGTGAATTGCCCAGCCACCACGACTCCACCTCGCAACCAAAACGCAAGCACAAAGACGAGTTTCGATCCGCGAAATTCAACAACGAAAGCTGTGTTTATAAATGAAGATCGCTCATCGCATTCTTTGTTTGATTTCAATCGCAAATTCTGGGCACTACTTTTTAAGGGTTTTGATTTTCTTTTGAGTGTTTATGAAACAGAGTAGAAGAGGAGTTTGATCAGTGTGTGTAAGGGAACAGGAAGGATTTTTTTTTTTATTTTAATCATTTTTTTTTAAAGGGAATTCAATCGTTTTTTTTTTCTTTTTGTTTTCTATTTTAACTAGCAACGACAACTAACAGAGCTTAACGTCGGTTAATTACCGTTGATAATATAGGGTATTGTTAATTAAAAATAGTAAGGTGGAGGGCATAGCTTAGACGTTTTAAAAACCGTGGGTACAGCTTAGAAACCGAAGAAGTTTAGGGGCATAGCTTAGAAAAACCCAATTATGTTAATATAGGATATTCACTTGAATTTTCTCTTATTATTCTACAATACGCCAACTTTATGAGAGCTTTGCATTTGAGCAATCGAAAGACATATCATATCTGCAAGTACTCACATAATGAAGTCAGATTATCAGATTTTTTTTTTAAAAAAAAAAAGTTTATGTACGAGTAGTAGAAATCAATCTTCAGCGTCTTAATCAAAAATTTCATGTCTTCAAGTGGCCGTATAAGGTTTTACAAAGTTACAAAAAACTAACTCATTACGCCCCTTCTCTAATCTCTATGGATGCAAATTGCAGACGAGGCACTATCGCAGGTGTCCGCCATAGTAAAGAATATGGTTTACTTCTTAGGTGACATAAAAGCAACCCTAGAGTAGTTGTATAAACCGTATTGACAAATCACTGTACACTATAATATGAACAAAAAGCATATGCAGAAATTAGTACGACTGTACCCTACACTCAATGCAGCAGAAAACCTTGCTGTGACTTAGTGATGACCTTTTCTGAAAGCTTAGAAGACTCAGCCACCACCATGTTTGTCTTTCTGACCTTCAGCACTTGCAAGTAGTCGCAACCTGTTTCAAATAATGAGCAGTCAGAAACACACAGAGAAGAAAGGAAGGAGAGGCCAAAGGTATCAAAATACAAAATGGGGGCAAAAATGTAAATAAACTTTTTCAGGGTTAAAATGGTCAGGGAGAAATGTCATACTAGAACAAGCTAGCCATTTAGCCATCCCATGACTGATAAGATTCACCAACTTCAGCTCAACTCCAAGTTTGTGGCTTTAGACGCATAACCCCACTTAAATTCAATGCAACATCAACAACATAACAGAAATAAAATACTGAAAAGGCCATTACCAGTTTACCCCCCCCCTCCCCCCCAAAATATGAACAAATTAGTATAATTTGAGGGAAAACTAAGGCCCAGCCCAGCCCAGCTCAGTCAATGAGAACAGGCCCTAAAATAATAGACTTTGAGAGTGCCAGAAACAACTTGGAAAAGAGCTGGCAAGCCTGCAATTGGGAGAAAGAGATGAGAAGGATATTTTCCTGAAAATTTTTTATATTTATCTTTTCTCCGAAAACACCCATGAAGGTTAACTAATCTCCGATTTTTTTTTGATATTTGTTAGTAAATCTGCTAAATAGTTTAAGGTAGATCCATCAAGAAGTATTATTTAGAAAGGTAGGTCCCTTAAAGAATATTCCCCAAGCAAACTAAATGCACATAGATTTTTACAGTTGGGAAGGGAAAGATAGAAAGAGAGACATACACAAAAATCATGTCAACTTAGTGCGATGTATCTCATCCACATGTATAAGCCCACCACCATCTGATCCACAACAAACACAACCATCGCCATGCTTCCTAATTTGGGCAGGAAAAAAAAACACAATTGCATGATTAATTTGATTAGGGAATTTCCAAAAGCAGTAACTTTATTATAAATTACCTGTTTTTAATGAGCAGGTTAAGTTTCTCATGAAAAAATCCTAGCTTTCCTTCGTACTCCATAGAATCCACCTGAAATTAATTAGATCATACTATTAACAAGCTGGAGGTTACGGAAATGGGCATGTTAAGACAGATAGCTAGTTTTAAAAAATAAAAAAAATGGCCAGGGAGAGTGGCTGGATAATAATATGGTGGGGGCAAGGGAGGGAGATGCAGGGCAGAACATGGAGTACCGAGCTGGTTAAGAGGGGTGATTGAAGAATACCAGGGGGTTTTTCAATAGCCAGAAGTGTTGCCTCCCATTCGGGGGCATGAACACTCGATACATGGGCATGGTCTTATTTGTGAGATGCTAGTAGTGGAATAATTAAGCCCTCAACTATTCCAGACTGGGAGGCTAGTTAAGGGCTTAATTGTTCCAGAATGTGAGGAATTAAGCCTGCAACTTCAAAATACACTCAAAACCTGGTGCAAGAAATAGGGTGGTAGACGCCTTGTCAAGGAAGGGAGGTGAAGTGGTTCAGTTGGGAGCCTTCATCAATCATCACATTACAGGGGGGATGGATTGGAACGAGTTGAGAAAGGAGGTTCAAAGCGATTCTGAAGTTCTGAACTGGGAAAAATTCAGCAGAATGATGGTAGGCGAGGAAGGAAATCAGGGCTATTCGTGTGAAGGTGGCAGATTAATGTTCTGAGGGAGAGTGGTCATTCCCAGAGAATACCATGACACTCCTGTATCAGGGCACTAGGGAGAAACTAAGACCTATTTAAGAATTGCAGCTGAGCGGTATTGGATGGGTATGAGAAAAGACATTTGGAGCTATGTGAAACAATGCACGGTCTGTCAACGGTGCTAGTATTCACATAGCTGAGTGTGGTTCAGCCTGTCAACGGTCTGTTCAGTCTGTCAACAGTGTAGATAAGAAGAGAAGAGATGAAGGGAGAAGGGGTATACTTCAGATCAACAATCTTAAGAGATGAAGAGATAACTTACATTCTCGAGCATAGAATTATCAGCTGGAATTCCTATTGCACCATCTAACAACAATCTTGATGGAAATTCAGGAAATTTGGGACATGGAATTGTCTCCTCGGCTCCAGCAAGCCTCTGTCAAAACCAAAGTTAGTTAACCGAATAAAAAAAAAAAAAAAAAAATTGAAAAGTTTCAGGATTTCGTCTTACCTTCAGCACCATCCGTCCACCGACACATGGTTCAAGGAGGTAAAAATGAGGCATAGAAAAAAAATTCATAGTATCAAGATTAAATGGACCTCGACATATCAACCCCAGTTGTTTTATTGCAAGTGTGTAGCAAAGTTTTTCGAAAGCTATTACATGCGACGACTCTTCTGGAATGACCCAGTAAGGTCTTCCAATCACCAAACCTATCAAAAAACAAGTAACACAAATAATGAAACGTGTATTCAGTGACATATGTTTAGATCATAAGCAGCTAATTACTTTCTTAATATACACTTGTTTAGGCATGGTCATGCCTTATAGGACATTCTAAAGCAGCACATATTCCTTGCCAACAGATATCTGATGTTGAGCACCCAATTATGATAACTAGTCAACAACAGACAGAAGATACTTCTTACAATGTCATTTCAAGTGAGAAATTATTAAACATCAACATCAAGACCCATAGATAAGGTTACTTCCATACATCAGTAATGTTAGCAAAAATACATGCAACAATCGAAAATCAAAAAACAATAAAGTTTACGATTCATAGTTTATTATTATTTCAATCCTTCTTTTAATCTCTCTTTCCTATTTCAATTCTAGCTCCTAATTTGATTAAAGGTGAAACACAAAGCATTTAAACCAAAAAAAAAATGATTATAGCACTGTATAATCAAGTATATGGAGATAATGCAGCCAATAATGCAAACATGAGAGCACATGTCTCTCAAATACAAATTATAGCACTGTATAATCAAGTATATGGAGATAACACATGTAACATTCCATGACTTAGTGTGTGAGTGGTTGTTTAGAGCAAAATTAAGGCATAAAAAAGAAATCCTTAATATAAAATGAGGTTCTACTTTCACTTGGCATTTATAATTCCTCATTGTGATTGTGCTGGAAGAAAACCAAGATATACTATAAAACTCCATGTTTTTTAACCAAGCATTACAAGGAATTCAACTCGAGTCTGAAATTAATTATAAACTGGAATTTACGATTCCCACTCTCCCATAAAATCAAGGAACATTTGAAGAGCATACTTCTGGTCCTGCCTAGATGCAAAGTACCAGAAAGTGGCAAGCCTAATTAATGCACTGCTATTTAAACTAAAAAAAGAAATAAAAATGAAAAAAGAAATTCAGTACATGGGAATTAAATGGAAAAAAAATTAATATAGCAACTCTTTCAATCCTAAATGATAAACAATTGAAGCCACTAACCTTTATCCAAAGAAGTCAATCCAGTGCTCCCAATTACATCAAATCTAACAGCACCGGGAGCTTCTTTGAGTTTTTCGCAACTCCTAGACTCTTCTTCTAGTAAGGTATCTTCATCAATGGTTGTGGAGTTAAGCATTTGATGATACCCATGTGCCTACATATTGAAATCAAATTTTATTACCATCATCTATAATTTTGGAAAAAAACATATACATGAAGCAAAATAAGAGAAACTACTTCAACAAACTTTAGTACCTGACAAAGGGAGAATTCATTTAGTATCTGATTTGAGGAACTAAACAATCTGCAGTATATTGAACGATTATTGCTCCTTTGAAAGTAAAAAAGAAGCCTCCAATCCTCTATCGTCTTTCAATTCTTCAATCCATTTTTTTGCTTTTTTATTCATTCCCAGTTCATCTGCAGTTTATATCCATTGCTTGGATGCTTTAAATCAGCTCAAAAAATGTATATTGTTGCAACATATGTATTAATACTATTTCTTAGCATTAAGAAAAGAATTGCAGTGTAATGTAACTGTCCATAAGAAAATTTGCCCTCAAATCTCAATTAATGAGTCATTAAATTGGCAATCCTGGTATCATAGTCCAAGGTGGATCCAGCCTAAGACGACTTGCTTTCAATAGTCTACTACAGTACGAAAACAGACTGCCTAAACATCAAGGGCATAAACATGACATGTAGGTGCCATAAAGTACTATATCAGGTGGATAACTTTCCGAAACACTTAAAGATGCTTTGGAAATTAGCTATTTTAAGTAAGACATCTAACAAGAAAAAACATACTTCCCTCAAAAATACTTTACATGGAACGCAAAAAAGCACCTTGAAGAAATGCATCACACAAGTTATTCATATCACAGTTCTTAAGGATCACAGATTCCACATAATTGTCTCTGCCTTCAGCATCCTGTATAGAGCAGACAGCAGTGACTTTGAAATTAAAAGGATCACTATTCTTAAGAGAAGTTTGGAACGCTTTCATAATAAATGTAACAAGCAAATATACCGGTAAAATCACCGTAGAGTCTACTTTGCTCTGTATACATGCACCGATCAAAATTATTTTGCCCTTAGTTTCTTTTCTTCTAGCAGATACTAACATTCGATCATTAAGGATCAATGCAAGGTTCCCATCTGCACAATTTTCCACCACAAAAAAAAATAAAAAATAAAATAATTATTAATGCATGTAATTAGTGCAAATGGAGCACAAAGGGAAATAAAGAGAGACCTTTTGGAAGGGTTGTTCTCTCAAGCAAATGTGGAGCATAACAACAGGACAGCGCGTTGACAGCATCATGCCAATCAAGTAGGTTGAAGCTTTCGGGAGAGTATGCAACCTTAAGCTGTTGATGCAAACACAAATACGTTCAGAACTTAAGCTTCACAGATGAGAAATAGACAGTAGTCTTGTATGAAGAAAGATGTACTTTGTGGGAATATGTCATGGGAATAGAGATTAGAGAGTATGCCAACTGAGAATAAACGCCATACTTAACCTAAGAGATATTATCCTCAAGGACTGAGACCAGTTAATTCTCCAAGAAAATACCACAACCAACACACATAGATACTCAAGAATAAAATCTGCAAATATGAACTGATTTTCCTTGAGTTATCTATCCACACACGATGCGACACTCTCCGACCTCAACCAACACACATAGATACTCTAGAATAAAATCTGCAAATATCATAATCTTGAATTCAATTGAAGAAATAAGCAAAAACCTAACCTCAGATTCGGATTGTAAGTAGCAAAGAGCAATTCGATCGTTGAGAGAAGACAACACAAACAGATTTGCGAATTGAAGTAGGCTATCCTTGATTAACTTCAAGAATTGAGGTGAAAGAGTGCGAAGATCAAGAATGAATGCTAAAAACGCCATGAGATAATTGCTTTGCTTCGATTGAAAAAAATGGAAGAGAAGAAATTGATTTTGAAAGGAAAATGAGGAATGTAATATCTTTCATTTGGATGACTAATATATAAACAAGGGAATTGGGTGGAAAAGAAATAGTGGACATCGATTATGAACAACTTAGAGCCTGCAGGGGGAAACATTGTGAAGGGAGATTTTTTTTTTTTTTTTTTTTTTTTTTTTTTTGATAGAAATGAATATTAGAACTTAGAACAAACAAAATTGCAGTGATGGAGTAAGAGTTCAGCATGGAAGAAGGATGAGTAATAAAAAAAAAAAAAAAAAAAAAGCCACGTAGCCCGGGCCCACACCTCAAAATTGTGTATAAATTTTTAATTCTATTTTTTTTTTTTTTTTTCTTTCAGGAAAGGCAATTAATTACATAAACTGATAAACTCCAAATATGTTCTCTTCAATATATTTTAGATTTTTTGTTCAGATCAGATTAGAACTATTTAGACCAGATCAACCAGGGCACATACTTTATTATTATTTTTTTTTGAAAATATTATTATTATTATTATTATTATTATTAAAGAGTTAGTAATAATTATAATAAAAATTATATAATAGTATAAAATAAAGTTGTTAAACAATGATAATAAAATTCAGATCAAATCAAACATATATAAGTCAAATCAAAAGTATTCAGACCAGATCAGACGAAGAGAACAAGTCAAAAATGTCGTCATTACACATTTACATGTTATAAAATTAACATTTGTACTTTGAAATATTATTTATTTAGTGAACTTATTTATAATCGTAATTATAAAGTATTCAATTTGAATTTTTTAGGTTTTCTCTAAAATAATTATAGTACTCCCTCCGTTTCAAGTTACTCGCAACAAAGGAGGGAGTTGCAGACTCCTAGGCAAAAGATCATAAGCTTGATTATTGAAAAATTAGGGATACACTTAAGTACTAATCCAACCCAAAACCAACACCTAGCACCACCACCACCTACAACTAGCACCACCACCTACAGCTAGCACCACCACCAACACCTACCACCACCAGTCCACCACGAAACCACCACAAAACCACCCACGAATCCACCCCCGATTCCACCACAAAACCACCCACGAATCCACCCACGAAACCACCCCCAAACACACCCACGAATCCACCCCCGAATCCATAACCTAACACCACCCACGCACGAACCCAAATTCCGAACCCAAAAACTCAAGAATTCAAATTTCAAACACCAAAACCCACAACCCACCACCATCCTGCACGTACCCAGATTTCGAACCCAAAACCCACAACCCAGATTTCGAACCCAAACCCACAAGCGAGGGGACGGCCGACAACGTCATGACTTCCGGCGAGGTGTTGTGGTCGAATTGAGGGTAGATCGGTGAAGAAAGAGATAGAAATTCTGGGTATGGTGGTGGTGGTGGTAGTAGTAGTGGTAATGGTGGTGACGGTAGTGGTGGTGGTTGGCAATTTAATTAAATTGGGAGGGGAATGATTTTGGGGAAATTGATTAAGTTAATTAATGTAGAGTTTAAGTTAATGAGATAAAATCAAAAGTTTAATTAAGGTGTTTAAAACCAAAAGTAAGGGCATATTTGTAAAATCACACTAAAAAACTTACTATAAAAGGAAAAAAAAAACTTGTTGCAAGTAATGTGAAACGACCATTTTTGGTAATTATTGCGAGTAACTTGAAACGGAGGGAGTATATCAAAATTTTTGCACTCGATATACTTCCTCCGTTCTTTTATTATTGCACCACTTGACTTTTAAGGAAATTTCACAAATATTGCACCATTTTAATTTAAAGAAACAAAATATGTGTGTTCACATTGTAAATATCCAATATACCCTTACTTTTAACACTTGATTCTTTACTTTATTTTTACATCACATGGCCTTATTTGTACTTTTACCCTTCTCTCTCCACATTTTTCCCACTACCAAAAAATGTGAGCCCAACATGTATGGTGCAATAATTAAAAAACGGAGGAAGTATATATTATTATAGTACACAAACAAACGTAGAAATATTTTCTTTGGAAAGAGGGAGATGAAGCAATCAAATATAATTCACCATTTTTTTATTTTTTTTTTGAAAGAGTATAACTTCACATCACAGAATGAGAATAATGTCAATTTTTTTTCCCTTTTTAAAAACCTAACATACCCGTAAAAAAAAAAAAAAAAAAAAAAAATAAAAGATTTATATGATTATGAACATGTATGTGCTTGATTCAACATATGTTCTTCATTTACACTTGAATCTACACCGCGATTGAGGCTAGTAACGGAACGTTGTTCTAGTATAGAATATTGTTCATCATCATCACCATCATCATCAATTGAAATTACTTCATCATCAACTTCATTAGGAAGCCTACATCTTTCACCAAGTATAATCCTCTTAGTCCATAATGACTCGGAATCATGCTTTGTCTTCATATGACTTAATTCGGATGCCTTGTCCTTAAAATCGGACGCCTTATCCTTAATCTTCATAGACATTCTCATGCTAAGACTTGAGGATAACTTCCTTCTTCTTGATCCTTTTGACATGTAATTTTGTAAAGATGATGGTGACTTATCAATATTGGAGGGTTGATTTGTCTTTTTGTTCCCTATAGTTTCACCAAATTCTAGCTTTGTGGCTGCCGGTGGTGGTGGTAATGGCTTCGATAAACCACCATCATCGTTCGTCGTGGTGGTTGTAGTATGATCAATGTTATTTGTATCTTGTGATTGTGAGGGAGGTGAATCCGTTGATTCTGTTGTCATGGTTGTTGTAATTCGTGCATTCTTTTTCTCTTCTTCGTGTTGAGATTTAAAACTTTTCTTGGAACACATTCCACATAAACTTGATACGGTAGCGATCATAGCTACAACCCACGTAACAAATAATGCTAACGATAATATTGGGTGAATTGATGTTATTACCATGTTTGAAGGAAATTTTCTTCCCATGCTAAATATTTCACCCTTAAAAGGGTGTTTTTCTTCCAAAAATCCCTTTCAATCCCTCCTTTTTGTTCTTTTGCTAGCTTTACAATTAATTTTATTTAATACGATCAATTGACGAAGCCTGAAAAGGTAAAGGGATGGACGTGTTTCTCTTACTCCATAATGTTTCAAATGAAGATGAATACATCAATTTGATAATAGTTATTACAAGGGTGGTTTAGGATTTGAAATTGCGCCCCTTCTCAATTTAAAGGGGCATATGATTAATTGTATGATTTGAAGAAATTTGCTATAATAGTCTTTGCTTTAAGTTTCATCTGTATTTTGGATATGCTTTTCATATTTGTTAGTGTAAGGATTAACATGCTTTTCATATTTGTTAGTGTAAGGATTAACAAAAATGAAAAGAAAAAAAAAAATATTTTTTTTATTTTCTTTCGTAATCTACTTTGTTTCCTTAACATTGCTATAAACATATAGATCCTTCAATATAGGACGGACATGAGGAAAAGGATAATGAGGGAGATCGCATCATTTTGACTTGACATATTTGTATGATACCATAAATAGTAAATTCTATTATGTCAAACCGTTAACACAGGTTATATATATTTGACCAAAGAAAATGTTAAACATATAACTCTTAGTTTGACAGAAAATAAAGATATAGCGTTCTTGTTGTTCCTTGCTTGACAACCAACTTTATAGCAATAAAAAACAAAAATAAAATAAAATAAAAAATGGTATAAAGAAATGTTTGAATCATATAGTAGCCACTTCAAAAAGGTTTATATTAAAATGAAGGCCTTGTATATTTAGGTGTTTGAAATTGAATTTGATTTTGATCGTTTTAAAAACTTTGATTATTATCTTTATCTTGATCGAGTTCGACTCTTTTACCATGTATACGCTCAAAATAAAATAAAATACTCTGTATGTAATTGTATTTTATCCGTAGTTTAAATTAAAGGAAGAAAAATCACAATTAAGACTTTGATATATAAATTTGCCTCAATGTTAATACGGAGTACAAAGTAGTATTGAATGGTCCGATTTCTATTTGTAATTTTCACACACAGACACACATATAAGGATTGTTCTGTTTAGCTTAATTTCAATTCAGTTCAGCTCCAATCAGTTCAGTACAGTTCCAATCAACAATTCATTTCTATTCAGTCAGCCCCAATCAATTCAGTTGAGTTCAGTTAATTTGTTTTCAATAAATCGAAACAGGCCCATAGTTGATGACATTAATGTTCAAAGGTACAAATTGAAAATCGTGTTTGAATTGACTTTACATTGTGATTATTGTTTGTACTCAGTATATCATAATTCATAAACAAGTTTTGTATGATTAGTTGATTACATATTTACATAATTTGGTCTTCAAAAACCACAATATGTCATTAATGTTCTTTCTAATTAAGAAATTAATGAGATGCATTCTTAAGTTTTTTTTTGTTTTTTTTAGATTTTAACACCTGCTAAAAAAACGAAAATGGTTTTTAACACCTCCAAAAAAAAAAAGGGTATTAACACCATACAAATTTCCAAAAAATTGGTATTACCACCACTTAACGGTTTCCGTTAAAAAATTCCGTTAAATGTGGTCCACAGTGACACGTGTTACTATTTTATTTGTTTAAAAAAAATTTAAAAAATTAAAAAAAAAAATTAAAAACCTAAAACTACCCCAGCCACCCCAGCCCCACCCACCGCGCCACCACCGCTGTCCCCAAACCCACCCCCTTCCGGCGTCCCAGAGAATCGCCCGGCGCCGACGACCCCACCTCCACCACCCTTTCCTTCACCTACGTACCCCACCCCTTCCCTTTCCCCATTTTCGTTTCCCGACCCACAACCCCGAAACCACCCTAAACGAGTTTTAGGGTTTCGTTTGGGGTGGTAGGGAATCGATTAAGGGAGGGCGAAAGGAGAGGGAGGGCGTTTCCGAGGGAGGAGGAAGAGGAGGAGGGGCATTTTCCGGGGGAGGGGGCGTTTAGGGTGGTTTCGGGGTGGTGGGTCGGGAAACGAAAATGGGGAGAGGGAAGGGGTGGGGTGCGTAGGTGGAGGAAAGGGTGGTGGGGGTGGGGTCGCCGGCGCCAGGCGATTCTCTGGGACGTCGGACGCCGGCAGGGGGTGGGTTTGGGGACGGCGGTGGGTGGGGCTAGGGTGGTTGGGGTTGTTTTAGGTTTATTTATTTTTTTAAATTTTTTTTTTTAAATTTTTTATTTTTTGTTTTTAAATTTTTTTTTATTTTTTGGCTAATAACAAAGCGACACGTGTCTATATGGCCCTACTTAACGGATTTGTAAACGGAATCAGTTACGTGGTGGTAATACCCAATTTTTTGAAATTTGGGTGGTGTTAAAATCATTTTTTTTTTGAAGTGTTAAAAACCATTTTCGGGTTTTTAGCTGGTGTTAAAATCTAAAATAACCTTTTTTTATTTTTTTTTATTTTTACGGGAAGATGCATTCTTAAGTTGATTACCTATTATCTTTCAAAAAAAAAGTTGATTACCTATTAAAATCTTTTTTACAAAACTAAAATCGGACGCCTTTCCGTCTAAGATAGCAACCCAACTAGGCTGGTATAAACCAAACCAATCATATTATATGTTGATCAATTCCTCTCCATTTTTTTTATTAAACTAAAAACATTTAAAAATGAAAGTACAAACAAAGGCTCTAGCTTAGGTCAAATCCTCGAAGACAATGACACAACTCAATGCATATACGGAGTAATATTTAAACCTAGCTCCAACGTCAACACATCATCTTTCATTATGGCTTATTGGCTTAGTACTAATGATAAAAGTTAATTAGACTTAAAATCCAAATGTGGAAAAGTAATTCTTATTTTACTTTCCAAATCATTGCTCTTATGTCGTCATGCATGAGATGAACATATCAAGTTGGTGTTGGACCTACTAAGGTCTTACCGACAAGGAAAAAGGAAAAGGCTAAAATTTTAAGTTCCATTAATTTATATTTTTATTCGTCTCTAAAAGATTGTCTTATACAAATATTTATCTTTAGTTACTCAGTAGTATCGTTCCCTTAATTATTTTTATTCTATACAATCAATACAACTCATAATAAAATGAATATTAGAGACAAGTCGACAAATTTTATAAATGGGGGAATTTGCTATTTATCATGAATTTTTTTTTAAAAAAAAAATTTACTTTGAAAATCTCTCATTTTTCTAGTGGCATAATTTTCAATGTAGTTCCTCACTTTTTTTTTTCCCATTATCTTCAAAGAAAACATATTTCAAAATTTTAAAAATATTGAAATCATTAGTCTAATAACAAGATTCTACATGACTACATTCTTACGGAATATGGAAATTTTATTTGCAATTAGAATCTTTACTACAGTATGATAAACAAAGATTTGATGCTACAAGCCTTGACTAAATAAACAATAAATGTGGTATTTAATAAATTGACCTCATAAAAAATCGTAGGGCCTTGACCAACACACATTACAAATATTTTGATGATGAAATCAAGTTGATACTTAAAGAATCGAAGGTTGGAATATCAACTATCAACAAACTGTGCACGCATGATATAATTGGGTCAGCAGTTAACCAAGAATTAAAAATGTAGGGTAGAATTAACATTAATGATAAATAGAATAGAGTAGAAATTTATGAAAGAGAAGTGGAACCATCAAATAATGATTAAAACTATAGTGTATGATATTGACCCAATTATCTTACTAGTATTATATTTATAATATGCCCTTTTGCTTCCTCAAAAGCCTACCATTTTAGGTATGAATTTGGTCCTTTATTTGCAGGGTACTCAATATTATTGGTCAGAAATTACCTTCCAACATTTTCTTTTAAGGCTACAAAAGCAAAATGGCATATCATAAGTGCCCTCTTTACTTTTCTTTCATTTTTTTTAATGCATCTTCACCATTAATTGAGTTTGAGACCCACAAGTCCGCAACTAAGTACTTATACTTTGATGTAGGTTTGTGTTTACTTCGTTTGTATTTGTATTTGGTTGCTTAGATGAAATGGATATAAGTTGTTAGATGTTATATATAAGTTTTGAATTTCTCGACTTTTAAAATTTAGATTAGATAATATGTAAGCTTTTGGACATTTAAAATTTTCACCTACTATGTATGAAGTACGAAGTATTAGATTATAATTACACGTAAGTTCGCATCAGTTTAAAATTTAAATAAGTTCATACTATATAAGTTTAGATAGATTCCGCGCAAGCTCTCTTTCCTTTTCATTCATGACAATTAACTATATAATTGCAACTTTAGAATTCCATCTCTAAATTCCACCTTTCCTCTAGTAATGGAAACATAGAGGGCTCACATCCTCACCCCCTAGTTTCCCATCAAATAATTTCAGTCCTACAAAACAAACATGGAATTTGTCATTTTGACACTAAATTTTATCACTATCCCCATATTCCCATCTACTATATGGCCACTTTTAGTCCATAATAATAATTCAAAAGTAAAAGGATAATATCAAAAATAAACTATGACCTAATGTTAGAAATTTGGAAGGACAATAATTATGGCAAAGTCCTAAAAGATACATGATGATACAAGGGAAGACCAAAGTGTGTTGTGGAATGAATGAAAAGATGGAAGATTCTCAATTTCTCACCTAAATTTATAGCATTATTGATCTAGTAATTATAAGCTTCTATTTCACATCAATGAAAAAATATACAAAAAGAAAACTAAGGAGCCATGCAATACATTTACATTAAACTTACCACAAAAAAACCCATATATAACACTCACATTTTTCCAACAGCTTTCAAATCTAACACCAGTAAATTTGTCAAAATCAAATTCATGTAACTTTCAATGTATCAACTCCAATAATAGTTGTGTCATATCTCACGACATTTACACAAGAATATGAGTATGTCGAAGATTTGTCATTCTTTTTATACACGTGGTAGTACAAATCATCTTTTAAGGGTTGTTCAAGTCTTAGGTTATGTTCACTTTAGTTACCAACCAAACATATACAAATCCCACCAAACCAATCCTAATCTTGCATTTGCTTATCACCAACTGAATTTTGGAATTACTACGTATGTATTAGTAAAGCTTATGTAATAAAAATATTTGAAAGATACGGAGCACACATTAAGATGGACCTAACAAAACCCCACGTGATGATGTCATTTTTTTTATACTCGGTATATATTAGCCTACATATACAGTAAAAGTTCAGTGAAACCAAAAAAAAGGATCAGATTTAAAAAAAAAAAAAAAAAAAAAAAAAAAACTGAACCAAATCAAACCTATGGGGTAACAAGTTTCAAATCATCGTTCAATTTAAGATATAGGGAAGGTTTATATATTTATAAACCAGCATCATTTACTACACAAGCTTACATATGCAAAAGGCTTTTTCCTGAATTGAAACTCGTCTTTGAAATATAACAAGATTATTACTGTAGTGGTGTTACAAAAACGATTCAATTAATCGAGCTCGCATTTCAGCTCATAGTCAAATATAACTAGATTATTATTGAGAGTGAAGTTGCTTGCATTAAGATAAGCTCAACCTGTTCACTTATGCAAAATTACAACTGAAAACCTTAGAAACGAATTCTAGCTTAAATTAACATCAAGTGCTATGACTTTCACTACAAAAATAAGTAGTAGATGCTGACATGGTATAAGACTTATAACAAACTGAGCCTATCTGGGACCCAGTAAATCATAATCAACCATATTAGATATATATAAAGATGGTCCATCAAAAAAGAGCTAGGACATGAGGATATTCAACTAATCATGATTATATACCCACAAAGATACTTAATTGCAATTAACATCAGTATGGAACATTAGATAAAATAAGTTATGCATTGACGAACATAATATCGAGGTCCAATGAGTTACAAGCAAGCAGCAAAAAGCATTTCACCAGAATCAGAAAAATCTAATGAGTAGGAAAACCAAACAAGCAAACAGGGCCTTTGTTTGAAGGCACCTTTTTTTCTTTTTCTTTTTTCTCCTAAACAAACTTTAATGATGGTTCCATCTTATCTGAATCAATCTATATATTATGTGTACCTACAATAGTTGGAGAAGAATCACTGAACATTTTGTTGGCTTGGATATTCACCCAATTGCTGCATTTGCCAGCTTTCATGAGGTGCAATATGTTGATGTGACGGAGAGAATTGCTGCAAAATTGATTTAGAAAAAAAGTTAGAACTACTTGCGTTTTCTCCAACTATTAAAATAAGTTACAGGAAAAATTAGATCACGCAATGGCCAATTTATTCAGAAAAGGGAAGATAAGGGCTACCCAAGTTAAAATCAAAACCACTAAAAGTATTAATAAGTTCTAAACTTCTAATAATACCTAAGCTGTGAATTTTGTAAGGTTTGATTTGGCAATAAGCAAACACAAATCAGAAGATTTGGTCTAGTATAATTTGGTTTTATTCTTATAAGTTCCTAAAAAAACGGTGAAGATAAATAGCCTAAGCCTCAATCAACGACTTGATCATATTAAGAACCATTTTTGGCATTTATATTCACGCTCTACAACAGGTTACAACAGGAAATTATTGCAGCCTTCTGCATAAACACATAATCCTCATCTTTGACAAAAGTACATTAAGATGTTCATCATTGAATATAGTGTCTTCTTACAAAGAGCATTAGGATAAAGCATAAAGCCGCTAACACACAGGATAATTAGATCATGTAGCTTTAATTTCTTTAAGTACCATCTGATTCATCTTGTAGAGGTCATTTGACTAATCAACCATGAATGTCCTTTTCCACTGTTTACACAGGAAAAAACATATAAAATCACACACTTTAACTTTGCAAAGCAATCTAACCTTACTAGGGAAAATTTTGAGGGGTAATATAATCTGATTATGCACACACATGCGACTTAATAAAATTCAGACAAGGAATACTGAAAAGAAACCAATCTTTCTGACAAAATTTCTTGATGAGGCAAGAGGTATCAAAAAAGCATGTAAGATACGAAAGCAATAACCTCCATTTTCGTCAAAAGCTCTTCCGCGTTGGGGGCAGATACTACTATATCACGCGCATCTTGTTTGATAAATCCTTCTTTTACACCGTTGTCAAAAAGTTGAAGCAAACAATCATAATAGCCATCGACATTGAGAAGGCCCACCTGAAACACCAGATAACATAACAACAATGACAATATGCACTTTAACTTATCCTTAATTTTTAACAAATTAAACATGAAGTTTACCGGTTTCTTGTGAATTCCGAGCTGAGCCCAGGTTATCATCTCCAACATCTCTTCCATTGTACCATACCCACCTATGAAACGATTGAAACTGTTTACACACATTGAAGTACACACATCTGTGAAGGCTTGGAACTCAAAAAATGCAGTATCCATACCAGGAAGAGCAATAAAAGCTTCAGCCTCTCGAGCCATTTCAGCTTTTCTTTCATGCATGTCTGCAACAATTCTTACTTCTCCAACAGATTCTCCAGATATCTGATCATCTCATTCACATTAAAAGCATAAGAACAAAGAAGCCCAAGTTTTCTTTTGATTTATATTTACCCTTCTAATTCATTTTGACAATCCTTAACTAGTTAAGCATAAATGCATAATAATACTGGAAAAGAATCATAAAATATGTGAGCAATAGAACTATAAGTAGGAGTACCTAACTAACAACATAGTAACAGATATACATGCCTCCAATAGTCCAATCTATCTTCATCCCCAATTATTATAAGGAAAGACAGGGTTGACCTAAAAAACTTCCACACATACTAAACAATTTTCTTTTTTTTTTGGTCAAAACCATGCATCAAACAGGTACTAATGACTAAATGATTACTAAATCAAATTATCAATAAACCACATCAACTATTGCAAGAATTAAAAGCACAAATACCTCAATAGGCATGAGAGCATGAGGTATGACACTGCATTCAAGAGGAAAAAAAATCAAATAAGGTAAAGAACAGAAATTCAACTTCATATTTCATATTAAATTGAAGAAATGTTCATAAAATTACCCCAAAACATGGCAGCCTCCACTAAACACTCTCCTGGAAATTAACCCCATTAATCCAACACTTCCACCACCATAAACCAAATCCATCTTCCTTTTCACCTACAAAACCATATATTATTATGGTAAATATTCAAATTAATTCACAGTGGCATTTTATCAAACACCATATACTCACAGCAAGCAAAAATCATCAAATGGGTCAAAATATATGCATAACAATAAATAATTTACCAAATTAAAAAACCCATTTCTTAAATTTATCAAACCATCAATATACAAAATTCAATCTTCAAATAAGATGAAAACATTCATTAGCCCATCATTCAAAATCCAATTTTGGAACCATTAATGCAGATTATTAATCATTATATTGACTAATATGATTAAACATACATTTAATAAATAATAAAAAAATAAATAAAAATACAGAAAATTGAGGAGAACAAACCAGTTCATTGCCCAAATCAATGGCACCATCACTGAAAACTTGTCTATAACCAGGATTACTCCCACAAAATACACAAACCCGTTTGAATTTACTTCCTGTATTAATATTATTATCTTCCATTTTCAAGGAATAATTGTACAACAAAATAATAATACGAGTAATAATAATACAAATACAATTGATAGAATTTTGCAAAGTTTTCAAAGCATTGAGTGAGAAAGAATTGTAGATAACGCAAGCTTATAAAAAAATTTATCGCAAAAGACAAGTGCTACTTAGATTTCTAGATCAACCAAAAATTAAAAAGTTGGGAAATCCCAGAAAGATAACAAAATAAGAGAGTTTGGGTTGGTCTCCAAATTTTGTGACACAAAGTTAGCTTATTTATTGTAATCAAATACAGAAAAAGTGCTATTCAAAAAATCATAAAAATATAAATTGAGGGGAAAAAAAAAATTAAGGGTGAAAGGAAAAAAAAAATTAATGGTGAAAGGAAAAAAAAAATAATAGGAGTAATAAAAAAAAGTGGGATTTTGAAGTAATGATGAGAAATTGGAAAGTAAAAGCAAAGTTTTTCTTTGCTACCAAAAAAATTTGGAGAAGAAGAAAGTGAGGGGTCCTCTAATACTCAATAGGGGGTTTCACAAATTAACAAATCAAAGGCTTTGGTTTGTTGATTCTAGATTTGTAAAATAGTGGAATTGTACGTTAGCCAATGTCTAGGAACCAATTCTCCAATGAGAATTTTTTATTTTTACAGATATTAGTCTTTATCTAATGCTTTTGGACGTTGTGAAAATGACATGTAGTCAATAATTTAAATTAAAGTATTGGGTAAGTTTGAATAGTACCTAAAAATCTTGGCAAAAAAAAATGTACCTTAAATTATAGGTGATCAAAATTGACCCGTGCTAATTTGACTCTAAATTGAAGCGTAGTTTGTGACCTATGTTGATTATTGGGCCTCAATCATGAATTTACTATTTAGGTTTTATAGTATTTACTATCGAGGGTGCTTGACTATTCCTCACTCAATCCAATTGTATTGATACATGCAAAATATTTTGCTAGGAAAAAAAGTTTTTCTTTACATCTCAACCCATGATCACCTACATGTGGGAAGAAATAGCTTTGCTTTTGCCCATTACTAAAATTGATTGATTTTACATGAAATTTGAATTATCAATAGGCTCAAATTTAATTCTACCCAATTTAAGTATAAATAAATTAAATGGCTTGTCACTCTATAAGTTGACTTATCAAGTATAACAACAATATTCAATTTGACATGACCCTACCAAGCTTAGGCTTGATTAAGTGTTCAAGCCAATCATATTGCAACATGACATAAAAGTAAACTAGGTTTCATATCATTTTAAGAATGTCACTAGGATAAGACTAGGTAAATCTTGTATTCATATCCTTATAGTCATACACTCATACCCATCCCCAACTTCATCTTTTCGTTATCATCCTCATGGTAGGTCTAAAATATATCACCATCTCCTCTCGACTTCCATGGTAGATGCAAATTTGAAAACACACTTGCCCGGTTTCCCCCATCATATCCACAACCTTTCCATACCACTACTCACTAAATTTAGACCTAGTCATACCCCCATTGGGATGGGATGGGACGAATTTCTTATTCAACTCGCTCCACTAACATCCTTTTTGAGAACACTATAAAATACTACGTAATATTAGTATTGTTTAATTTTTAGCTCCTCCTTGTTTGAGATTTTGATACTTGTGTGTGTTGACCTTGTTGCAAAGATGTGCTTTCACAAGGAAGTACAACAAAAGTCAATGTGACATTGTCACAAGACTCAAATAGTATGGAATGTATTATGTAGTTTAACGTAACTAATTGTGGTCCCAAAAACAGGAAACTAGTACAATACTCGACATGTGGAACATTCAATATCAACAGAATCAACTTAGCTTTATAATACAAATTTACAATGAATGTAGCATTTTATCGTTTTACTTTTTAGGGTTGATTTCATTCAACTGTCGGATAAAAAGTGGATTGAGATCAAATAAGGTTTTTAGATGTTGTAAAAATGATAATGACAACTAGTTTTACTTTTAGGCCCATTTGTTAAAGCTTTCTATTTAAGTCAACTGTTGAAATTGGCTTTAGGACTCTCAATTAGGCGGCTCGACATTTCCTCCATGTAATACTTACTAACTTGTCGCGACTAAGTTTAAGGTGAAACCGTCTCACACTACTTAATTTACACCGTAGTTGTCTGAAATCGTCTCACACTAGTTACGCTGTACCCTAGTTGTCAATATCCCAATTTTATGAGTTGAGACAACAAGATGATAATAACATATCCTTGTTTTGAGATGGCAGGAGCAAGTGATTGATGCTGCTAAGATGAATCGTACATATAAAAATTATAACACCCAAAAACGAGAAATCAAACTCCTATGTTTGTTCCATAGGACCATAACTACAGTTGTGCATACGCGGCATATCTAGACCTGAGCTAAAAAATAAAAATAAAAATTTAAAAAGATTATACAGTTTTTCAGCAAAAATGAATACGGAATACATGTTGGGGGCGCATTGTAAAACTGGTCAAGACTAACACTAACATGCTGCAAAAAAAGCCATCAACAGATCAAGAATATACAACAGTTCCTCTGTTATTCATGGCTTCTCCTTTGTTGGGGAAGTTAACAAATGATGCAAAGTGTTTGTATGAATTACAGCACTAGGGTTTGGATCCCTCGTTCGGACTGAATCAGGTTGCTTGACACTAAAGCTCTTGTCCAACCCACGTCGCACAGGACGCTTCCCTGACCATGGAAGGAAACGCACCAACCTTGTTGAACTCACCAGCATAATCACGCCTATAATTATAAGTAACCTGCGGATGGACAAAACAATATTAATGGTCTAGTTTATAGAATTTGAACCAAAGCACCAACAACAAAGACAATAAAATCTTCATAAACAAACTCCCTCAGTTCACAAAAAAGCACTTCATATAATTTTTTCTGTCCGTCCAACTTTCACCAATACATTATGAAAAGTTATAACCAAAAAAAAAAAATCAAAAAAATCATATTGTATCAAAATATAGGTTCCTCGAATCTTCGTGATACTTTTGCTGGAATAAACCAATAGACAAAGTTTGACCTTGAAAAGTGAAAGGGACACTTAATCTCATTAAACAAAATCCACAGATACCAAAAGCAGTAGAAAGATCAGATAAGAGATAAAGTTTTCGTCTTGAAGATCTTTATAGGACCACCAGTAAAGTGATTCTGGATGCTAAATGAATATGCATTCGCTGTTTATCAAGCTAATCTTGAAACCAACAAGGCCAGGAAAGATTAGGTGTTCCTAAACAACGCAATGGACATATTGACTTGAGAAAATACAAAACAAACACAAGCCGCTTGGTAGACGGTCATACAAATGATACAATATGTTAATATTGCAAAAGGAAATCTCATCCATAATCCATGGTAATGGTAATACAATTTCATCTTAATCATACCATATCATGAGACATTGAACGAGACTATTCTTACAAACTTACACAGATCCATCACCAATACTGCTATTTGATAAGCCTTAATAAGAGGTCTGCATACATAATTGTCTTACAACTTAGCTAGTCGATAGCTTCATGCTAAAATACAATCTTGTTTAAACTTTTAATTTTAAAGTGAAGGTGGGCTGTCAAATGCAGCAGAAATTAAAATTCTGGAAGACACTGAAATAGATGGGACAAGGATATACAGCCAGATTTCAGCTTAACTGTTGCAGCAATTGCAAATAATAATTATATGGCTATGGATCAATACTTCGTATAAACACCCAATGACCCAATAAAGCCATACTTGCTACTAACATATTCAAAATACTAATAAATCATCAGAAAGGATAATAGAATTACCATCCAAGCAACAACAAGAGACGGGCTCCTGGAGCAGCAGGCAAGTGCTCACCCAAAGCAAACATGCCAGCAAGTACACCAGTCACAATTGATGCTACAGCAGCACACGTGGAAACAACTATAGCCCTACCATGCTTCAAACCCCTTGTCTGTTCAAAGAAATCAAACAGTGATTTCAGGAAGAAAGCATCAAACAAAAACAACTTAAGGAAGTCTTCCCAAATTCCCCACAAAGAATCCTTAACTTACTAGGGAATTGCGATAGCTATCTCTGATACTACAAATTCAATGTAATTGATTCATGTCAAATCATATGCTATACAAGCACCATGACTACTTATTGAGATTATGAGGGACTACAGAAAACTGAATAAAGCAGGTTCTCAAAAGTTAAAATAAATGTGTTTCAAAAAAAAAAAAAAAAAGTGAAAATAAATGAGAAACGTAATCAGGCATTGATACATAATGGTAATGGCTTTAAATGAATATCAGCAGTAATTATAGCATATAACCAAAAAAAAAAATCTTGTTTAGAAAACTTTGCAGACCAAATCTCAGATGCAACCTTCATTCAGTTTCAAAAAGAACAAGAACATTGACAATCAAAGGGAAACTAGACCGAAAGACACCCAAATAAACATTGACAAGCAATTGCTATTCTTATTGATAGTTCAATTTGAGAAATACCTGGTAAACAAATCCTGTGCCACTGCAGCATACACTTATTGCTATACTAAGTGGAAGAAGCAGCTTGGAAAAACCTTGCTCCAAAAATATAAATCCAAGCTTGGACACAACAGCCGCCGTCCTGCAGTAATCTCAGGATCAGCATTTATTAGGCAACTCTTACACCGAGAAAAGTATGTATAAGCAGATTTTCACTTTTTATTATGATTGAGGCCATAGCAAAATAATACGTTATAGATTTTAAAACCTTAAGGCAAACTAGGTTTAAAACTGAACCATATCAGTGGAAAAAGGTGCAACAGAAAAATCAAGCTCGGAAAACAACTATGAATATCAGAGAGAGATCTTAGGTATACCCAAACAGAATGCCAGACTCCAGACCGTATATTATTTCTTCAACAACTTCAGATTGCATCTACAGAAGAAAGTTGCAGAAATGACAATCAAGAGAAATGCTCCTTTCAACAAAATAAACTCTAAGGTCAAATAGGAGGGCAATGAGATTAAAATAAAGATACCAATTCTTGTTCTCTTCGTTGCCGTCTGTAAATACGAAGCCACCCATTCAGGATTACCTGCAAGCAAAATAGTTTCAACATTTATTGAGAAATTTCACGAACACATACATAAAATGTACATGTATAAATTGACAAATAAATACTTCGCGTATAATTATAGAGAAATCGACAGTAGCTTTGGCCAGTAGCTAAGATATAGAAACATGTATACGTGAGTGGTTTGCGGCCTAAGCTGTGTGAATTTTGGGACTGTGAACGTTGAATACATCTTAAAGCAACTAGTGTCCAAGAAGAGACAAGTGAATCCTCCAGAATGTTTACAACTTTAATCTAATAATATCATCATATTCTGTCAATTATATGGGCAGGCCACAAGTGGAGTTTTGAGGGAGTTTCTTAATACTGTTCATCAACAAACCATTTAGTTATAAAATATATCTAGACAAAACAGAAACACTTTCTGTTTAAAATACAGCCAAGCATTACCATTAAAAGCTGAAAAATACAGCAAATTTTCATCTCAAAAGTATGACATAGTACAGACTAGTTAAAATGTCTCGCAGAACCTTCAGCTAAGATTCCTTATGAAGTTTTAGGCCAGTCAATTAGATTCAAGACCAAGTTCTAACAGAAAAACCTCTCTGCTATCACAGCAGTGACATTGAATAGAAGTGATCACCCAAATCCTGCTTGGACAGGTGCCTCCTTAGAATGATATCAACCAATGATGTAGACAGTAAGGTATGTGTAATATGGTTGAAAGGCTTCATAATGAATCAAATACATATAGACAGACTTGGTTATACTTATACCCTCAACATATTAAGAAAATATAGGTCTTTATGGGGTGCATTTGAACCTTTATAAATTTCATGCACCATAGCATATTTTGAAAGTAGCCACATTAGATCACCTACAAAGTAGACCTGATTATTTATTTCTGTTATAAAGCTGTAAGTATGCCCAGGCAATATATATACATCAATAGGCATGCCAGTCAACACCAGCTAGTGCACAGAGCAAGGTACCTACAAACAAGATCACAACAACAAATGCTAGCCAAGGAAGGTGGAAAATAGAGATAGGAGTAGCCTTCTGCTCCTCACCTCCAGCACCAATTCCTGCAATTGGAAAAAAATATTAATTAGTTTAGACTAGGAAGTTTATGCCAAAAAAATAACTCCATGCACAAACACCAATGATATCATTAAGCACGTACTCACAAGGTTCCAACCGTGGTCTGTGGAATAACAATACGGCATAAGTGCTGTGTATTGAATACTTTGGAACAAACTTACACACAAACTAGATTCATGAAAACGGATGCTAAGCCCATGATATTTATTTCTGTCTTACTCCAACATTGTGAATAATATTCTTGATAATCATATCTTTCTCTCAAATTTTCATCTAGAAAATTGAGCTACATCAATATACTTCCTCCATTTATTATTAATCATTTCACGCTTGCCAATGCATAACTTTGGAGACTCTAATGTCTTCAATTATTTTTTTTAAGTATAAATTTACAAAACTTGACATTTTCAAAGTATGTAACAAGATAAATCTAATTAGATCCCAAATAACATTATATTTCTTTACAGATCACAAAAGAGTGCCAAAGGAGAGTGTGAATAGTGTAAAGATCTGGATAGAATTTTATTTTTTTTTTAAAAGGAAGAATTAACAAGAACTCCTAGGTTCATTTGTCTTGTGAAGGCCTAATATATGGTTAAAGCACAAATTTTCTAGCATATGACCCCAGCATTGTGAATGACATGTTCACCATATAATTCATAGGCACCTGAAAGTTGAAACCTAAATGCATTGTTCCTGAACTAAATCAAAGTATCAAACAAAACAGAAACATGATTTTTTTGCAATGATGGAAACAAGAATGAGACTTATGGCATGAGATGAGTAATATCTTTTCTTTTTTTGTCCCCGAGATTTTAGAATCTTATTGAACAATTACCAATCAATTAAACATGACCGTGTCCTAATAATCATTTTACATATTATAAGGAAATTCAGCTGGCAGCATAAACATTTTAATTAGCATTGACTAACAAAATTTTATAAATCATCACCTAAATTGAACAGCTAAAACAATCAGCTAGAGGAAAGTTAGCTTCCCAATAGGCAACCATCTACAAACAATTTAAATGGTAAGGAAATTCAACAAATTTCATAGTGCAACAACAATATCAATATATTATATTTTTAACCCCAATGATGATCTCTCCTCTGCTCGTTAATCATGATCTCTCCCAACATTCCATTATATTTGCAAACCTAACTCTTCATATCATTCTTAACTCCTCCCATCGAAGTCATCTTTGATCCGCTCCAGGCCTCCAGCTTCCTATGAGATGCCCAAGATCCCAACCCTCTACTTTCCTTGCCAACTTTTCTTACCAGCGCACTCCGGGTCTCACATGCCCAAACTAGCACAACCAGTTCTTCCTTACTTTAAACTCAATATTCACAACTCAAATTTCCTTCCTAATATGTTTCTTTTTTTTCCCTAATGTGCTTTAAGGTGTTCCCACACATTAATTCTGCCACTCCCATCTTCCTTATATGATATTTCCCGAATGCCCATCGGACTTGACTTTGTGGTGACATCTTGGTCAATTTCTCCATTCTTCTACAAACTTGACCATGTGTTCTTAGAATACTCACTCTTTGGCAGCTCCTTACCATCCAATATTACCATTCAACTTTCTCATAATTCTAAAACAACATTCCATGTGCTCTAAGCCCCCAAGATTCTATTGTTGTTTCCATTGCTCCAATTCAGCACTACCTTCAACTTTATACAATATCATCATTTGTAATCTACACAAAGGTGCTAAATCTGAGTCAAGATCAATTAGTAGTAAGCTCAACTTGAGATCAATAAGGTTTTGCTCAAAGCTTGGCTCAATGTTAAGTTGGCTCAACGCTCAGAGGCTCAGAGCTCAAAACTTAGTTTTCAAATTTGAACAAAATTTGGAATCAAACAACTATAAGACCAAAAATATTGCCCAAAAGTAAGCATTAAAATACTACCATTTGGCTTACTAATGTTATAGGCCTTAGGTAAGCTTAAGCAGTATAACTATTTTTGTATGAATGTGATATATTTTGAATACTTACTCTGCTTGGCTTACCCTCTTTCCTAGCACTAAAGGCTTAGTAAAATGTTAAGGTATCATAATTCTTCTGGGAAATCTACTTAATTAGCAATCTAGATATTTGAATTCTTATAATCTTATGTCAACCATTCATTGCAGTCTGCTAGTACAATCTTAGTGGGAAGCTCATAGCAAACTGAAATGTGTAGGGAAAAGGTATATCTCTCCTCCACCCAGCCACACCTTACAACTAAACATAAAGAAAGGTTCTCAATAGTATGTATGCTAAGAGTACAGCAGTATAATAAAGGTCAATATGCATTTCTTACTGCTTTAAACTTTCATATAAGATCACTAATTCTGCTATAGAGACATAGTCCCAAGACTCCAAACAGTCAAACACTACATAACCTGATTGCTAGGTTCCAAATTCCACGTAAAAAAAAATTAAGATTAATCTACTAACAAAAATGTTCAGCAAAGACAACTTCTACAGACTTACATTACCTATTGTGCCAATTCCGGCCAATGCAATTCCCATCCAATCTACAACATTCATTAGTTCCTTCAAATAAAAGTGGGAAAAAATGGAGAGTATAGCAAGCCCACATCCAGACACGGGTTGGATGACTGACACCTGAAATGGTTTAAAGTGATCAGAAAATTACAGACCAAGAAGTTAAAGAGAATAGCTGCTGCAAGCAGTATAGTGCTGCTTGGCCTGCTTCTGCTATAGTATACAATTATAAACTCAGCAAGCAACAATAGATAATAGAAACATGTTACTATTGAAAGATACAGACCCCTGCTTAAAGCAGCTTACAGATAGGTGCTAGATATCAAGGTGACAATCACAATTCATAGAAAGTTGTTTAATATGAAAGACTGAAGAGTAAATCTCAATTATATCATGAATTGTAGCCAACATTTTTCTAATTGCCCTGGACAGTTAGCCCTAGTATTTTCCAACTAAAAGAGCACAGTAGCACACACCAACGGCAGAATAAATATAGAAAATTCTATTTCTTTCACTTAGCATATATGTATATAAAAGCATACTATCTTTAGGCCATAAACAAAAAAAAAATGGAGTATTTTCAAATACATAGCAGCTACTATAGTTGACAACTTACTGGAGCAAGAGATAATGCCCTCAGCATCAAAAGTGCACCACCAATATCCATCAAAAAGCCCGATATCCAAGCTCTATTGAATGCATATGTCCTTATCACCTACAAACATAGATGAGAACAAATTCTTGCTCCATCAGTTAACAATGACTACAAGAACAAATTCTTCAAATCGATCAGCTAACATCAGGCATGGTAAGTTTTACGAGCAACTAAGGGCTTGTTTGGCATCATTTTTGGTTTTTAGTTTCCTGTTTTTTTGAAAACTAAAAACCAAAAACAGGAAACAAGAAAAAGGTGTTTTCACTTTTTTGTTGTCAGTTTTCAAAATTATTATGATTTTAATAAGTTTAAATAATTTTTTATTCATTATGTGACATATATCATATATTTTTATACAACCAAAAACCAAAAAAACAGAAAACCACGGCAATGCCAAACGAACCCTAAGGTGCTGGTTCCAAAAATAAAAGTTTATGTTCTTTGAGGTGCAAATAAGGGGAAAAGGGAGGTTAATTAAAGCCCCTTCCAATATCACAGGAAATAAGGAGAAATTGCAAGCCAAATGAAACAACAATGAATATGTAATTTAAAGACCAGCTACTAAAGTAACTGTATACATCACATTATACATAGGAAAGGAGCTTAGAATAAAAGTAAGGAATTAAGCATAACAGCAGTTAAAACAATAAGAAAAATGCATACAGGTGGTGGTACATGAAAGAGGAGGATAGGGCAGAGGGATTGTCCTTATTCCTTAGTAACAGAATCCTACCAACAGTTCCGCCGTGCCTCCCTTCTCCTTCAACTTCTCCCATATACCATTAATTATTTACCTTCCATTATCCTTTGAACAATTCCCTTCATTCCAAAAGGGATTGTCCTTACTCCTAAGTAACAGAATCTTACCAACATAGCTTACACACAAACATGAGAGCAATAGTTCCGCCATCCCTCCCTTCTCCTTCAATTTCTCCCATATACCATCAATTATTGACCCTCCACTAACCATAGATCGATTCCCTTCATTCTAAGCATGCCCTTAAAAGGATCAGATCAGCAGAGTTACCCAAACTTCAGAAGACCAAATTTTGGATCAAATGTGATCCCTCTCAAGTCCCAACACAAATTAGTTCAATCCTTAATCACTCAAACAATCCCCAGAAACTCTTCATTAATCACAGTTCATAGAGCTATCTAATACAACACACAAACAAAAAAACACCCAATTTTTTTAACAATTAATAAGTTTACAAGCAATTAAATCCTCAACAAAATCCAAAATATCATAATAATACAAGATTCAAAACCCATGAAAACCCCAAATCAATGTGAATCTAGAAGAGCAATAAAACTTAACCCATTACAGCAAAACAATCAATCATCCAAACCCACAACATAATTTCCACAATAACAATCATACAATTGATAATACAATTGAAAATCTAAAAGGGTACTTAGATCATGGTACAAGAAACTAAACAACTTCAACAAGAAATCGAAAAGAGAAGGATTATGAACCTTGAGCTTGAAAGAGAGAGGGGGTAAAATGAGAGTGCCTTTCTTTTGGAGGACTTTGCCGATGTTATTGCCGGCCGTTGCCGCTAACGTAAGAAGCACGGCTTCCCACATCTGATTTTGGAGGGTGTTTTCTCTCTCCTCTGAAGAATGCGAGTGTTGTTATGTATGTCGTGTGAAGCTCGACACTGGTTTGACAATGGACGTGTCTTACAAATTCAATGTCATTTTGTATTTTCTGATTTCAGTGATTTGTGATGTTGTAATGGCGTTTTCTTGTTAATGGTAAGGTACCAACTTCAGCCTTCTTCCTTTTCCTTTTCCTTTACTTTTGGGGTGTTGTTATTTGTCGCTCCCATTTTACCGGGTAACACTCTCTTTTTTTTCTTGAAATTCCAATTTTACCCCTAATATATAAATACGGTTTTTTCCTTCCCGACCAACATTTCTCACTTCTTTACTTCTCTCTCTAACTCTCTTACTCTCAAACTCTCTTACTCTCGAACTCTCTAAAACATTTTTTTTAAAAAAAACAATTCAAAAATTGTTCTTCATTTTTTAAAAAAACAACAATCATCATAAACACAAAAGAAAATGGGTGATTCGAGGCGGATTAGGCTGACATTCGGAGGGAGGACCTTCGGCGGCGCTGGTGGCAGCGGCGGAGGCGGCGGCGGCGATGGTGGAGACGAGGTATTTTTTTTTTTTTAATTTCGGATCCCAGGAACTTCCGCCCAAAATTTCCGGAAGTTCCATGGAGGATCTGCCTGGAATTTCCGGAAATTTTGTGTTTAAGATATGTTATTGTTTGATTTGCAGTGGATGGGTCGGTCCATGGAGACTCACCAAAGAGCACTAGCTGAGTATCCTGAAATGTCGAGTGAGACTCGAACAATGACTGAGCAGCATGTATTTGATTGGAAGTCAAAAATGGGACTTTAGATTATTTTGATTAGATGTTCTGTTAGTGGTTTTACTTATGTTATGAACTTATTTTTAATTTTTATTTTTTAAATGTACTGTATAAACTGGACACTTACAAATGTTCAAAGTTAGTAAATGTACATTACAAACTACCTAACTAATGCATCCCACATGTCCCTTCTCAACTGATATGCTTGATCCCATCCATTGACACTATCCTCGTGGTTTTGCGTCCACCAATCGGCGGTCGGCGGGAGTGGTGAATCAGGTACAAGGTCAAGACGGATAAAATGTGATCCACCAACTGTAGCAATCACAAACTCTCGAGTCGGTGACCGAACCCCGTTGCGTGCCCTAAGCGGTAAGACTGTGATGCATGGGTAGTAGCAAGTTGGTACTAGGCCTACTCCGAGACAAATCACCCTTGCGTTGAACCACGTAGCAATAGGAAATAAATCTTGAATTGTAACCATCCAATGTCGCTCCCCGACAGCCCCACCATCCCATCGAATACGCTCCACGTTCATCCAAAGTCGCCCAAGCCCGTAAATCCGTTCGTACAAATCAGGATGACCAGCGACCTCGTTCGCTATTGTTTCCTGAGCGTCAAACCACTTATTTTGATCGCCAAAGAAGAAGTCGGCGACACAACGAAAGCCACAGTTCCCATCACCAATGACATCCTTCCAAGACGAAATGTACGGCAACATTGGGGCTGGAAGCAAGTTCAAATACCTGCATTGACTAATGTCACTTGGATCTACAACACAAAATTAAAAGATAAATTATTAGTAAAGCTACAAGTATTAAGTTTACATATTTTTATATTAAATATAGAATTTTAGTATTACCTGGTTCTGGGTCACCACCACGTTGAGTGTGTTGACGGTTCACATGCTCGAAATAGCTACGATCACGCCTGGTGTTATTTCTTTTCGGTCGACCACGAGTGTTAAGGTTGATATGTGGTTCTTCAAGGTGTGAATGATCTGGATGTAGCTCCTCTTCAATGATTCGCGTTACATTTCGACGTACGGCCGGGTCACTTTCCATGACTTCGTCGATTAGGGACCGAAAATGTGCAGCCTCCTCGGTCGAATCATTTACCACTTCAGGAATGTTAACACCATCACCAATAACCAGTATCTTCCAGAAAGAATGAATTTGTCTGCTATACAATCCTGTCTGTGCAACTATCGAATCATGTATCTGGCAAGCACATGGAAGACCATGGGTCAGACGCATAGCACATCCACACCGTTCATGGACCTGGTAACTCAAATCCCACATCCTTTTCGTCTTGTTATCCAGAACTTTCAAGTAATGTTGAGACACTTTGCCATTTATACGTGACAGTGGCAACTGTCTGTACATCTGACCAATTTTAGACCTTGATGCCTCCAAGTCATTACGAATTTGTATGATGCGATTACCGATATGACAATGGACTTGGGCCCATACGGTATCCAAAGCACCTGCCAATGATTCTAATTAGTAAATTCAAATACAATTACAATTAATATAATTACAATTACGTAACAACGAGAACAACTAATAAAATAATACAACTAACCTGTGGATGATTCTAACCAAGTTTTCACTGCTGAATGTTGGCTCTCAACTCTACAGTTGGTGGTGTTACCAAAATGAAGAACCTGGTTCGTCCAAAATTTCACAAATTTCTCCTTATGACAAAGCCAAGTTCTCTGAACATACTGAATCACTTCCGCATATTTTCCCCACCTCACTTGCATGGCAGTTAGAGCACGATCATACTCCGCCTGTGTTGTTGCATTCACGATTTTGAACCATCTCCCAGCTCTAAAACTGACACCAACCGTCTTGTTTCCAAACATCTTCGTCACCTTAGCCTCCACATCTCTGTTGATGTGCCATAGACAGAGTAAATGTGACGTCCCTGGAAAGACTTCTCTCAAAGCCGCACATAGCCCAAGATCACGGTCTGAAATAAATACAGATGGCTCTTTATCAAACCCAATCAACTCCCTTAATCTCTGCAACACCCACCGATAGCTAGCCGTGCACTCGTCGCGCATGAAAACATATCCAACTAGAAAATTCTGGTTTGTCGGTGTCACGCCTACTATCTCAAAGAAAGGCATGTTATATCGATTGGTCTTGTAAGTAGAATCCATACCTATGACATGTGGGTATGTGCGGAGTATGTTGACCATGATCGGGTGCACCATAAATGCATGTTGCAAAACGTTGTGATCATCGTTCGTGAACCAGTAAATGTATTTACTCTCTCTCGCCAGATGAAGAAATTGCTGAACAACTCCTCTTCCTTCGGACATCTCCATCCTGAAGTCATTTCGGCAATTGTAAATGTGTCGGATGTTTGGATGATCATCAGGAAATTGCTCGGCAATAGTGGACATGATGTTACGGGGAGCAACCTTGGACTTTGTCATGTCCCGCACAACCTGTTTTGCACCGGGACTCAATCCGCTCACTTTACGGTGACCCTCTGGGTACACAATCATTCGGTGGTTATGTGTCCCGGTGTGATCATTTTTCGCAATGATCTTCCAACTTTCGGTGCTGACATCATAATATATCTTGATGTAGAATGGACAACCATTAGCTTTGGTTTTGGTGTCCTTCCGTATCGCGTTCTCCAAATCTCTCGGCTTGCTCCTTCGTGACCGATCACATCGCAAATACCGATACGGCCGACCATCTCTGGTTTTGTTATAAGACGATTTCACCAATATAAATCCCAATTTTATGGAAACACCATCAGCCCATGTAACAACATCGTCAAATGTAGGAAAAAACGTATCGGTGACAAAACTCCCACTATAATTCACACCGTCACCGCCTTCCTCAGATTCCATATCCTATACAAATTAAACAAAACATGCTTTATGTCAAAATAATAATAATAAAAACAATAATAATAATAATAATTATAATTAAAATAATAAAAATAATAAAAACAATACTAATACTAATAATAATAATAATAATAATAACAACAATACTAATAACAATACTAATAATAATAACTACAAATACAAAACAATAATAATATTAATGATAATAAAAAATTATAACAACAACTACAAAACAATTTATAAGACCATAACATTAATTAATAAATAATAATAATAATAATAATAATAATAATAATAACAATAACAATAATAATAATAATAATAATAATATTAATATTAATATTAAAATTATATTTCTACTAATTAATAATAACAATATCAACAACAACAACAACAATAAAAATAACAACAACAACAACAATAATATCAACATATTACTAATAATAACAATAATAATAATAATATAAATAATAATAATAATAATATAAATAATAATAATAATGAAACAAAAAATAAACATATTACTAATAATCATATTAATACAACAAAATTACATTAATTATCAAATAATAAATCACAACAATAATCACAAGACCACAAAAAAAAAATACATAAAAAAAAAACTTAATAAACATAAAAAAAATTAAATAAACGTACTTAACATTTTTTAAAAAAAAATTAATAGGGAAATCCGCCTAAAATTTCCGGATGTCCCTAGGTACATCCGCCTGAAATTTCCGGATGTACCATGGAACATCCGGATTTTTTAGGCAGATCCCATCTTCCGCTTGAAATTTCCGGATGTTCCATGGTACATCCGGAAATTTTAGGCGGATGTACCTAGGACATCCAGAAATTTTAGGCGGATGTCCTAATTACCGGAAAAAAAAAAACACTTACAGAATGATCCGACGCATTCTCCGGCGTACGTATGTTCCACTCGCCGTCCATGACCCAAGACCCGTCGGAAAATTTAACGATTTTTGAAAATAGAAAATTTAGGTGGTCGTGGGACCGATTTGGTTGCAAGGTCGTGGGGACCGATTTTGGGAAGCTCGGGACAGCAATGTTGTGAAGTGAGGGGACCGTTTCATGTATTGTGTCCAAATGGGGAATAAGGTCCTTTTTATAACCCAAATTGCATAAAGGGCATAGTGGTCCATTCAAGTCAAAAAGGGAGCGTTACCTGGTAATTTGGGAGCGACAAATAGCAGTTGAGTTCTTTTTCTACTCTCAGTCTCTAATAAGGGCTAATCGGATTTCAAACCGGTCTAATTACTCAAGTTGAGCATATTTGCATCCTAGATACGCTCATTTAGGGGGTAAATCGGAGATTTTTAAGTTGGCCGAATAACTTCTTCATCCAATCCAAACTCTCAAGCGAGTCAGTTGCACAGATGCACTCACTTGGGTGGCTAGTTGTACGGGATGATACCGGCACCGATATGGATCAGGTAAATAGGGTCAGGTCTTGACATTTGGGTCACTTCTAATACTAGCACATTACCCATATCGACCTATATCACCAGTCATGTGGAAACATGCTTACAACTATATGGACACTCATCGCCCATTGACAAGTCAACCTCGTGGACTGACATGTGGCACTAGCTTGGGGATTTTTATAAATACTCAAGCATATTTCACTTCTAAGGTACGATTTTCTTAACCTAAACACACTTGAGTCATCCTTTATACTCATATCAT